ACTGAGCCTCTTGGGCCTGCCGATCAGAAGGTTGGCAGTTCGAATCCCCGTGACAGGGTGAGCTCCCGTTGCTTTGTCCCAGCTCCTGCCAACCTAGCAGTTCGAAAGCACACCAAAAAGTGCAAGTAGATAAATAGGTACCGCTCCGGCAGGAAGGTAAATGGTGTTTCCGTGTGCTGCTCTGGTTCGCCAGAAGCGGCTTAGTCATGCTGGCCACATGACCCAGAAAAACTCTGGCTCCCTCAGCCTGTAAAGCGAGATGAGCGCTGCAGCCCCAGAGTCGTCTGCGACTGGACTTAACTGCCAGGGGCCCTTTACCTTTATCTTTTAAGGAGTCTCAAAGCAGCTAACAATCTCCTTTCCCTTCCTCCCCCACAACAAACACTCTGTGAGGTAAGTGAGACTTCAGAGAAGTGTGACTAGCCCAAGGTCACCCAGCAGCTGCATGTGGAGGAGTGGGGAACTCCTCCAGGCTCTTTCCAACAATTATATTTTCATTAAAGAAGACAAGGTACAGTACCTTTGGCAAAAAATGTATAGCGTACAAAGGTAAGGTGGAAGAGCTGGCAGATATATAGTAACCATCGTGATCCTCAAGGTTATAATGCATGTATGTAGATCCTTTTTCTTCTCCAGATGTTGCTGAACTACATCTCCCATCAGCCCCAACAAGCAAGGCCAATAGCCTGGAATCATGGGAACTGTAGTACCAAATGTTCCCCCAAACCTGGTGTAATGCCAAAGATTGATTTTGCTAACATAGGAAACTTGCTGAAATTCTATTTGGCCCAGATTTGGTATCTTATGATTTAGGTGGTCTTCTTTCTAAAGTAGGACCAATGCATTAAGAATCTTCTTTAGAGCCTTAGAGGTGAGGATACTAAATTTTGGACTTCTGGGTTGGCGCCTCTGGCAATGGAGGATTTCCTCCGATCGGGAGGAATCTGCTCCGTGGAAAACAGGGTCTGAACCGCCACAGCGAGGCGAAGACCCATCAAAAACCACAGGCGGGAGAAGCCTGTGGACGTGGGATTCGGCTGGCACCTTTGCGCCCCCCCCCTACTCGCGGGGAAACCCGGTTTCGGGGATCCGGAGCGACGTGGGGTGAGTGGAGCGGTGCTTTGAATCGACTGCTTCTTTCACGGAGTGAAGCCGCATTGCTGTTGCTGGAGAGCGCTGACTTTTTCCTGTGGACAATTGGATTTTTAACAACTGCCCGTGAGTAGAACGGAAAATTGGATTAAGAATTTTTTTTAATTTGGCACTGAAGCGGGAAGGTCTAAACAGGAAGTCCGCCTTCCGCTTTTGTAGATAGATTGAAGCAAAGACACGGCAAGCTAGAGATTAGAAAGTTGTTTGTAAAGGACCAAAATTCCATCATTTAAAATTACTGAACCCCCCTTGGAAGCAGGAGAAGAGGGGGGAACCTTTTTTAGACTGTTTAAACCTGCAGAAGAGAGAGTAAAGAAAGGGAATTTTCCACCGTCTTGAACCTGGGAGCGGGGTGTCAGGACAGACGTTCTGGGGAAGTTCATTGACTATGGACAAACGTTTTTGACAGATAGTTAAAAGAAGAGAAACATATTGATTCCATTTTTCCCCTTCACATTTAAAAGGAACAAAATATTGACAAAATATCCGAAAAAGGAAAACTTTGTTGCTAGATCTGCTTTTTTTTAAAAAAAAAAAAAAAGGATGGATACAAATAGAAATTGTCTCCCCTAGTGGGAGCTTGTGAAACTGTTATTAAAACCGAACTGGGAAGCTTTGCAGCTGTAATAGAGTAAGATCGTGGGACCAGACTTCGACCTTGAACAAGAATGTACTCGGAGGCTCTGGTGCTTGCCTTTTGCAAGACAAGTGCTTTATTGGAACAGTTACATGAGAAGATGGATTTGATGACTGTTGCGATCGGAAATTTTGGACAGGCAGTGGGTAACTATATAGAACCCACTCAGGAATTAATCCAGGAATGTGCTTTGACAGATGAGATGAAGGAGGAGATTGTTGCTGGACCTTGGGTGGCAGAGATGGAGGGAGCTGTGGCCCAGCAGGAACATGAGTTGTTGGATTTGACGAATGAACCTGGAAAAAGTCAGATTTGGAGAGATGGAGTTCTGTTTGGCTTGGAGATGGGGGGCTGGATGGACCCCCCTATGCAGGGATGTTTTGATTTTTATTTTAATTCTTCAAGTCTGGCTTTGGGCTGGGGGGAGCTCGGAGTTGTGGGGGCCTTTAACTTTGGAGGGGCCTTGAAACATGCCTTCAAATACCATGTGGATTTCAGTGTTGACTATGGAAAAGGGGCCGACTTGTTGAGAAGGGACAAAAATATTGTCAAGCTGGAGTCTCCCCGAGTGAAAGGAGCAGAAGGCAAAGTAAAGTACAGGTATAAATATGAAGAAGACCTGCGGAAGGGACATGGAAGAGACTTAAGAGCCTCGGACATAAGGTCACCAGGTTGATGGACTAGATGGATGGGATAGAAAGGACTGACAAAACCCGAGACCAGGAAGAAGAGACGATGGATGAAGATTGGAAGAAAGTTTTAAAAATTCATTTAGAAAAGTATTGTAAAATTAATGAGTATTAGAAAAATGTTGGAATGAAATTATTGGGCTTTAGCAGAAATGTTAAAAAGAATTATGTAAGAATATGTAATGGTTAGGAGAATTTGGTATAAATAAGATTTAAGTTTTAAGTTTTAGGATTTTTTATGGTAAGATAAGGTTAAAATAGATTGAGGTAATTTAATGACAGAATATTGTGAAAGATGGAAAGGATTTGCTGAGATAATTAATAACTAGAATACAAAGAAGGGAGGTGTGAGGAGGTCGATGAAATAAGGTAATGACAGTTAAGGATTTGGGAATATTGGATTTCTTTTTAAATTTTTTGTTTATTTTTGCTTTTTGATTTTGATGTATTGTGTGTTTTGTTTTTTCTTTTTGACTTTGGTTTTTATTGATTTGTATTGTTTAATTGTTACTCTTATCTACTTTTTTCTTTCCTTTTTTCTTTCTCTTGTTTTTTCCTTCTTATATCTTTGTAACCTTAAAATTCTCAATAAATATCATTTTTTTAAAAAAAGAGGATACTAAATTTTGTACCACTTCTTAAGGTGTCCAATGCCTTCTGATTTTCTCCCTCTATATTTCTGATCTACATACATGTCCACTGATAAAGCACTGAAGGACAAAGGGGTCAATCATGATGAGCTTGTGTCTAGACTCATTTGGTGATATACCACTGGCTGTGATGACCTGGTGGCTATAGTCCACATGGCTGAACAATAAAAAATGATCAGATCAGTGTTTGATGAAGATTGGGGCAGGAAGCCAGACGATGATGTGGGGGGGGGGGATGAACCAGAGGAATATGAGGTAGAAAATGGAAATAGGGAATATGCAGGGGCCCCAGACCAAATTGGTGAAAAGTTGGCAGAAATAATCATATGGAAGGATGCAGAGGGTCACATGGGAATGGAAATGACCTCCATACAAAGATTTAGGGAAGAAGTAGAAGATGGATATGGTTTTGATGGAGTGTGTGTGTGTGTGTACACACACACACACACACACACACACACACATTGAGACTTCAGTCCTGGGCTGCTCCAAGCAACTCCCCCACATCCCCCACATCTGTCTGCTTGCCCCCTATCTCCAGATCTCTCTCTCTTTTTAAGGACAACATTTTTCTTTGTGATATCCGGCCTTCACCTGGGCAACATCCTTCCCTCACCTGCAGAGGCTCCTTTCTGGTTTCCGTTGATGGGTTAATGACATGCTTCTAGTATCTTTTATCATTCTTAATAACTTCTATCCTGGCCTGGAAAAGAAGCTTTGTCTGTGTTTTTCACTGGCCTGTCATCTTTCCTTCAATACTCCAAATATTATCTGAATTCTATCATTTATTCACTAAACTCCAGCAGTTATGGGTGCCCTTGCACTCCAAATTGTGTTACCCCAGATTTGTTCTCTCTCTCTCTCTCTCTCTCTCTCTCTCTCTCTCATTGTCTCTATCTATATTCTTCATTCCATCTTGTTCCTAGACTCCTAAGTAGCTCCTGTGACTAGGAGTGCTTATGTCTAGTTTAGGCTAGTTTTCTACAGCCATTCCTGTACTGGGATAGCCTGACCTCATGGTCTAATGACCTCCTACTTAGACTACTGTACTGCCCACTATGTGGGGCTGGTCTTAGAGATGGACTGGAGTCTATAGCCAGTGCAGAACGCAGCTGCTAGGTTGGTAAATATGGCAGTGAGGAGACCATATGTCACCGGTCCTGAAAGGTCTGCAGAGGCTGCCACAAAGTCTAGTTCAATGTGTTGGCATGATAGCATAAAGCCCTAAATGCCTTGGGGCCAGAGTATCTAAAGGATCAGCTCCCCCCAATATAAACCAGCTCGGGCCCTATGATCCTCAGGGGAGGCCTTCTTGGTGGTGTTGCCTCTGGATGCTGTCAGGTTGACACTGACACATGAAAGGTCCTTCTCAGTAGAATGCCCACCTAGCAATACACAGCCCTACCACATGAATTTCCAAGAAACCTCATAGACAATAAATATATTATAATTGTTTTGTTTTATTTTTATTTATGTAACAGTTTGAAGTACAAGGCAGTTCCACAGCTCAGGAAGAAGAAGGAGAAGGAGAAAGAGAAGGAGAAGAATAAATCCTACCCATCTAATTATACACCATCATCATGCTTCCTTTACACATTAGAGCTTCTCCATGGATGGGGGAAATCTTCCAAAGAAATTAAAGGGAACGGGAGAATCAGAGTGCTATAATAAACATACAGAGGAAAATCTCTAGGGTTTCCGGCTTGGTCAAAGAAGAGAAGAGGAGGTCTTCTGACAAGTTTTCCGCAGGATGCCGATGCTGTCATTTGGGATGCTGGGAAGATTGTGCTGTTATTGCAGCCCGGGTGGAACTTCCAAATTATTATCAGCAACCACAACAGCTGGAAGAGCCATTAGAAGACCCAATGTAGTAGACACAGCATCCACCGCTGGAACCGCAGCAGCTGGGGCAGCAGCAGCAGCATGGACAGCAGCAGCAGGGGCTGCTGCAGCAGCAGCTGGGGCAGCAGCAACAGCAAGGGCAGCAACAGCAGCCGCAACCACAGCCACAACCGCAGCCACAACCGCCACTACAGGGGATGCAAATGATGTTTGGTCCACAGCTTGAATTGGAGCCACAGCCACAGCAACCCATCTTTGAGCGTGGAAGGTAGGCTGAAACAGGTGAAAGATGCATTATGTTTGTGATGTAGAGGAGGAACTACATTTGCACCATGGTGGGTTGACTAATAGGAACTGACACTTGCTAACCGCTCTAGGGCTCGTATCAAGTTTAGGGAAGCCTGGTGGAATGGTAGAGCCTGGCGGGCTTACTGGACTACGGGCACCGAGTTTCCTATTCTAGCCACTGTTTTATGTTCACCCAGTGCACCCGATGAAGTGTCATTCCAGTGCATTGTGGGAAACTCAAATGGCTGCTAGACCCACCCATTTGGCACTGATCAGAGCTCCAGAAATTTCTTAATGTCGTCCAGTGACAGTATTAGTTGTAGGTCTATTCTGATTATTATTATTATTATTATCAATATTATTTCATCATTTTGTACATTCTTAACAGGGTAGGTATTTTTGGATGTTAAATATTTCAATAGTAATATTTCCATAATTCCAACCACCTGGCAACTGACAATAAAAATGCAGTAAATTGGCATACTAGAAAAAGATAACGCTAGAAGGAGCAGATTAAAAGAGTCATAACTCAAAAGAACAAATAGGTATTTGTGAGCTATCAGATATCATGGGGTGGGGGGTGCTCCCAAACTTCTCTGTGAAGCAAAACACCTGTCTCCCTTATTTAAAATGGTAGAAGCACCTGCGGAATGGGACTTAAGTGGTGATTTTAAAAATGGGATCAGGTTTGTTTCTCTGATTCATAATTGAGGTAAGCCTTGCTACAGACGTCAGCTCAGAACATAGAACAGAACAGAAATGCAATAATATGCAGAGGTGTTTAGTTAAAGGGATGTATGCAACTTAACTATACCCAAGATACATTCAGAGTAGACCTATTGAAATTAATGGACCAAAGATCGCCATATCCATTCACTTCATTGGGTCTACTCTGACCATTGGATATACACACACACACATACACATACACACTGTGTGTGTATCTCTCAAATACACAATACATTTAGAAGCACAGCTTACCTTGTTTGGTGGTAGATGAAGAGTTGTAAGGTTGAGGAACCCAGTGGTTGAATGAAGAGGTCTGGGGCTGTGGACCTTTTATACAGCGCCTTGGTATGTTTCCAGAGGAAATGAGGCACCCCCTCCCCAAATGGTAAACTCTTATTAGCCATTAGTGTGCACATCCCTAACAAGACCATGTGCTATTTTCTGCCATGTGGTACTTGACCGGGCCACTAGCCATCATTGCCATTCTACGTCTTCAGCTGGGTTATTAACTTAATAACAGGGTGGTCCTTAATCCAGCCAGCAGTGCTAAAAGAATTCAGGGCAATAATGTTTGTATCTATAGACCTGCTTAACAGAATTCATGAACCCAAAGCCATGCTTTTTACACACACACGAAAAAAAATCTCATTCATCATTTCTTTCTCACTTAATGGGAATTCCATTGTATGGTATTTCATATCAATTTTAAGTATTCAGAAGAAGAAATTACACTGAAGGCTCTAAGTGTCAATTGTATTATTGTAGATTTGGGGGGACCCCCCTAAACCCTAGAAATTAATAAATAGTGGGGGTTTTATTCTTTGGAGTACAGTGGTACCTCAGGTTAAGAACTTAATTTGTTCTGGAGGTCCGTTCTTAATCTGAAACTCTTCTTAAACTGGAGTACCACTTTAGCTAATGGGACCTCCCACTGCCGCTGCACAATTTCTGTTCTCATCCTGAAGCAAAGTTCTTAACCCAAGGTATTATTTCTGGGTTAACCGAGTCTGTAACCTGAAGCGTCTGTAACCTGAAGCGTCTGTAAGTGTATTGAAGGGAAGATTGCAGGCCAGTAGAAAATAGACAGGCTAAGCCTCTTTTACAAGCCATGGTCTGTAAAAAAGGTGTGATGGTCCATTTGAGAAGAATTTTTGGGCCTGGGTTGACAGAGGTTCCCATAGTGATGGGGTTTGTGTTTGATGGGGTGTGTGTCAGGAAAAGAGAGTCTTTGCAGCTGGGAGAAAGAAGGGAGAAAACAGACAGAGATCCATCTTGGGCAGGTTGGCTGAAGGCCGGCTGGGAGAGTGCTGCACTGCTGTGGGGGCAAGTCCCTCTTGAAATGAATCATGAAGGTAACCACTGGACTCTTTCCATGCAGATGAAGAGGCAAAAAGTTTAGTCACTGAGAGAACAGGATGCTGAGCTAGATGGGCTGCTGGCCTGATCCAGCAACCAGACACTGCGCATATTTAGCCAAAGCCGCACCACTCATATGTAAGAGGACAGAATCAGCTGTGCTTACTGAATGATAATGGAACAAAGAACAGAGGGTTGTATCTAATGTTAGTCCTATCCATTGAAATTGATGGCCATGGCTAACAGGTCCATTAATTTCAATGGGTCTTGGCTGGTTATAGCCCACCTAAGTGGGATTTAGTTTGATACAGCCCAGAGTGGTTAAGGACATCCAGGAACATTCCACATTTAAGTTATTATGATTTTTCAGGCACATGGAGCCCAGCTGGCCATGATAGTCACCAAACCTAACATCCTGGTGCCAAACGCAGCTTTCTATGCATACATCCTGGTACGGCATGTGAATTATAGTGTTCTCAGTGGAATGTGACCTTTTAATTATCCCCGATAGGAAATTATTTGCTTTTAATGATAGGGGTTGAGTCTCAATATGTGTCAAACAGCCCTACTAGAAAAATTAACTAATAAACTGAAACTGACACGGGGACAAACAGAAGAAGACGCCTTCACCCCGGTATGGCTCCCCTTTATCACATACACAGCCCAACAGGACAATGACAATAATCCACCAACAGCATACAAATCAATATGGCTAACCTGATCCAAAACACCCACCCACCTCACTCACACACGAAAACAAAGATCACCACAGCCAATCACAAGCAAACAATCACACCCTAGGCCAACCCCAACCTCTCTCACCACCAAAGGAACACAAGTGAACAACACAAGCAACGCTGACACCAAACTCTACATACATTAAACATAATAGAAACACCGCCACCCGACCCCACCCCTATCCATCTTCCCTCTCTCCACCCCCCTTTCTTTTTTCTTTTTTTTTTCCTTCTCCCCCTAATGCCTCAACAAATGAAACGGATTTGTAAAAATGTTACATGAAAGGAAAAAAAAAATACGAGGCACTACACTTCTGTAAAACAAGAAAATCCTTAATAAAATATTTTTTTAAAAAATGTGTCAAACAGTGGGTAGCCTGGTCTTTAATAAAAAGAAATTAGCCATTCTTGGCCAATGCCTCACTTCCAAAGCGAAAGGAAGTGTGTAAAGTGTGTAAAGATACGTTCCTTTGGTCACCGGTTATCTGCCTTTGACTGACTGCCCTATCTTCTTTCATTTCAGCTTTTACAAGCCAGACCCAGTTCAGTATGCTCTCTCTGGGATCCAGGTGAAATTAGGGTTGGATTCCCTCTAGCTATTCTAGCGCTCCCTCTAGCTATTCTGGCTTTTGGATAGCCCTGCGAAGCCTCCGTAGGGCAGCGGACGAAGGCCCCCCCACTGCCCTGTGGAGGCTTTGCGCGGCTCTTGTGGGAAGTGGGGGGAAGGGACAGAGTGCTTTCTGTCCCTTCCCCCACCTCCCAGAAAAGCCCCCAAGAACTGCGCTCCCTTTAAAGAGCGTGCGGTTCTTGTGGGAGATGGGGGAAGGTACAGAGGGCAGCTTACCAGAGCGCAGCCTCTTCCAGGCAGGGGGAGCCTTCATCCTGCTGCCCGGGAGAGGCTTCAGCGGCTATCCCAGAAGCCAGATCCCTCTTGCTGTTCTGGCTTCTGGGATTCAGATTTTTTTTCCCCTTGTTTCCTCCCCCCCCCCCAAACTAGGTGCGTCTTATCGTCTGGTGTGCCCTATAGAGCAAAAAATCTGGTAATTACTGCAGGTCCATTCTGAATGCTTGTTCTTGTAATTAGTTGGAGACAGCACTGTAAACATACATGCATACAGTTTCGAAAGTCATGGCCTTGCTGGACCTAAAGTGCCCTGCCTGAGAAGGCATTCTGTGAAACTCTAATGCTGGTTGTTCTGATTAACCCTGTTTTGTTATCTTTGCTTGGCTTCTTTAGACTTGCTGTCACTTCACCAAGATGGGCTCTTCTGGTTGTTGTGCACCCACTGGCAGCACTAGTGGGGCAGTAGTTAGCCCTGCTGTGCCACTCCATCTCGCTGTTCTCTCTGCTGCTTAGCCCTCTGCTCCCCTTGTAGTAGGCAATCCTGTTGGACTCTGGTGCAAACTTGTTGTGCTCCAAGCTTTGGACAATCCTGCTGCACTCCATACTGCATCCCAGTCCAATCCTGTTGCACCCCATGCAGCACCCAGCAAGCATCATCATGCTGTTCTACCAGCCAGTCATGCTGTGCTCCTGTGAAAGCAACTTGCTCTACTGAATCATGTGGGGCCAAAACAAAGAAATGTTGTCAGGGTCACTTTGATAAACCCCGGCAACTGGATCTTCAGTGACACAAACTTGAAGACCCAGTGCTTGCTACCACCAGGACTGGGATAACAATATCATGAGACTGAGTGATCCTGCCCTGGATGGTGAGCTGCCGAATGCTCCACTGCGTGGGGTTGTGTTGTCAGGGCATTCCCTGGTCCAATGGAGTGTCCTCAAGCTCTGGAGAGACTCCAGACATTGATATTGACTATTGACTCTCCTTGTCCTGGAAGGATCATTAAGGACTCCTAAACCAAGCTGGGACTTTGATGGGAAGTCAACAATGAGTGCTGTGCATAGCTCATGACTGCTCATTTCTGATTGCTGGCTTCTAACTCATTGTGTGTGGTTTTTTAGGACATGGGTGGTGCTGGGTTAAACGACAGAGCCTAGGGCTTGCCGATAAGAAGGTCAGCGGTTTGAATCCCCATGACGGGGTGAGCTCCCATTGCTCAGTCCCTGCTTCTGCCTACCTAGCAGTTCAAAAGCGTGTCAAAGTGCAAGTAGATAAATAGGTACCACTCTGACAGAAAGGTAAATGGCGTTTCCGTGCAC